GGTGCAAGTAGACCAATATGGTTTTTATGAATATGTATTTATTTATTTCTCAATAAAAAGGTTCTAAAATGCACACCCGTGCCTGTGTAATAGAACTCCCGCTCTCCCCGCAAACTGCCCGGGGTCGACCCCCACTCAGACCCAGAATTTTTTATATTTGCATCTCAATTTTCTAATCGCGCCCAAGATGATTATTTTTCGCTCTCTACCAACGAAACTGACGCCGACACGAGAATTTCTGCGAAACGAACTCTTTAACGCTGTCGTGTTAAAAATGGGCCCAGATGCTGTGCCGCAAGGATGGGCGGCTGACTCACAAGTCCGCTATATGTGAGTGAAATTTTGAGGCGGACGATAATGTCAAATATTATAAGTACATTATAAATGGGAAATGAAATACTTCCACCTCGAGGAAAATGGGCGCTAGTGCCAAAGACATTACCTCGCTTTTTTGCCGGTCTGCCAGAGTGCATATCGAAGGCATATGTGACTACAATAACAAGGAGGTCACGCACACACACATGCACGCACACACACACACACAAACACACACACTTGCTAGGGATGAGCTCATGCCAGAAAATGAAATGGGGAAGTGATGGTCATGGAGTCGGTCGAGTGATTTTAGCGACGACGCATCTCCGGGCAGATCAGACGTCTCGTTAGCTACACCGTTCGCGCTCAATGAAGCGATGAACTTCTCGTTGCCTTCCGCGTGCAGGAGCCAAAAATTAATCGATGATGCCGTGTCAGGGATGACGTGCGGTGTTTTTCTACTGCAGAAATCTTGCACCAAGAGCTGCTACTACAAAAAACTGTTATTGTGGAACGAGGTGGTAGCTCTAGATTGTACCCACAACCATTAGTGTTCATCGTAAATACTGTACAGTGTTTACAAAGCGGCCTACTAGCTTTCTCTGCCTGTCCTACGGAGGCCACTGCTAGCCAGAAAGCCTGCAAAGGTGGTGCAAACCAGAAAACAAAAGGTCCGCAACCTCTCGAAGAGGTTTGCCCGTGCGGCTGCCTCAAAAAGGAAGAAACGTAAGGAGATCCTGGCTCTTGAGCAAAAGCTTTCCGCAGTTTCGAATGAGAGAATCGAAAATACCCTTGCTGAGCTACCTCATTTGCTAAGGCTTTCATTTATAACATCACTAATGTAACGAGTGTTCGGCAATAACCCAGCGAAATTATTCGAGAAAGATGGCTAATACTTTAGCCATCTTTCGCGCGAGAGATAACATAACTACAATTTTTTTACACCCACATGAGAGAATTCTCTCGCGAGAAAGATGGCTTATAACTATACAATATAAAAAAAATGCCACCTTGAGCTAACTGTATTTCTAAAAAGTGTTTTTATTATAGCGCAGTCGACATTTGGCTGGAAAATTTTGCAGGCCGACGAACACTGGAAAGAGTGTGAAAGATGCACAGCTGATTACAAAATAAACTACGCTTGAGATGAGCCACCAATATAGAGGGACGATCGCATATTAACAACTTGTCCTGTGTACTTCTATTCTGGCGTCTTGTGTTTCGCGCACTCTATTTTTATAATGTATTGCGAACTAGCGCCCAACACAAGCTTCTCGGGCACAGCCGATTCCGCCCGAAAACAGCGTTCCGGGCACTGTTTGTAAATAAATAAGTAAAGAAATAAATAATAATTAGTTTCCCGATTGGAAAGGCTCCTGACATTTAGTGGTGATTATGAAACAGATGTTTTACAAATTTTCGTTTTCGAAGTGGTTGAGTTTACCGCTCAAGTGTCTATGGTGAATCTCGGTTATCACGACTGACGAGAGCTGCGGCGAGAACGCGAATCACTCGCGCTGCAGCAGAGGACGCGCGCGGCTTGAAGCAAAATGGCACAGCAGCGCCACTAGTTCTCGCGTCGGCCACCACGGCCACTTCAGAGAGCGCGCGCCTACAAGGAGCTCCGAAACTGACCTAATTCTAGTAACGTTGCTCATGACCGCATGCCTGGCCAGCGACGCCGACGATGTGCAGAAGACAGCTGGCCGTGGATGACGTCCCTCCCGCTGAATACATCAACACCAAAAAAAAAAAAAAAAAAAAAACCACGAAGGAAAACAATCGAGCAGGTCCTAGGGAAGGGAGCTTGAGGCTTTTCGGCCACGTGGTACGATGGTCAGTACTGCTAGGTAATACATCGGCGGAGGCCGAGCCGCCCTTCAAAATAAAACATAAATCACTTTTTCTAACTAGTGCATCGCAAGATGAAAAAAAATGTGAGGGAAGCAGAGCGTGACACATCAACGCCACGATCCACCTAGTTTTGCCACGTGCGACAGGCGGCTGCGCAGAGCCTTAGGCCTAATGAGTCGCTCGGAAACAACCGGCATCCACCCAGCCTAGGCGCAGAAAAGGCAGCCGCGAGGAGATGTCCACTCTGTGAGGTGGCCCTATCGCTCGCCGCACACAGCAGCTTACCGAGCGATCGGCGTCCACCGCCCCGGGCGGTGTCACGACGCCCGGGCGTCGAGCCGCAATACAAGTCAGCAACGATGCCCGGCTCCCTGAACCCAAAGAGATAGAAGAAGCTATTTACAGAAAATTGGACCACCCACGAAGCTTCCATACTCACTCGCTTCGGGCCTGGCCTACAAACCACGTGCTCTAGGCATTGCTCACCCCAGGATGCAGACCGCATGGCTCTCGTCCTAATTCAACAACGTTCCTAAAAAAAAAAAGCCAATCAAACAAAACAACCACTTGCGAGCAAAAAACATAGAAGCTCAACCTGCCGATAAATTCAAACACGTCACAAAATCAATCTCCTCGCTCTCAACAAAGCACACCACCGACGTTAGCAAAGAAGTCCCCCTAGGCCTACTGTTCCCCGGCTCAAACAAAAGATTGTAACAAAAGATTGTACCGAACCGCAAAAACTGCCGTCCGATACTCCAAGGGCTCCACGTTGGGCAGCCAGTGTGAGGTCTCGAATTGGGGAGCGCCGGGCTCTTGGAGTGAACGGACACAGCAGGCGCGGTTGATACAAACCAAACAACATACATACATTTATTTAACTAATTTAGATGACGATATCGTCCGTCGAATTGATACATCAATTGTATTTAACACGCTGACATACAAACAACATAACGTAGTAACACACTAAACACACAATAACATACCCAAGGCGACGTCGCCAACGCTTACCACGTGCGACCCCGGCGCGAAACCCTCGGTGCTGAGCACCGGGGACCCACGCTACAGACAACCGTTCGCGGCAGCCGCCACGCGCAGAAGAGGCTTGCTCAACTCTCGCCTGCCACCAAGGCCTGCCTTCCGCCAGGGGTCACCGCCGGCGCTACTACTCTACCAACAGTGGTACTCAACGCGAACTCGCCCCAAGGCCGCATTTCGGTCGTCACCAGGAATGCGGCCTTCGGGCGAGACACGTGCGCCACACGGCGCAAACAACTTTGAAGGGGCTGTCAGCACCCCCACATAATGTACCTTGGCACTTGCCGAGTGCGGATCTCTTTTTGCAAAGCAAAGTGATAACGATCCAGACCTTATACCAATTCTGTTTGAGCGTTAGGTTTGAACTCGAAACTAGAAAAAATATAAACCATTTACGATACCTTGTTGGCATGCCCGAAAAATAGTGTTTATGACAAGGCATGGAGAGTCTTGGGCTGTGCCAACACCCAGAATAAACTCGGGTCGACAACGCCTGCAATTTACTTTTCCTTCTCTTCCAAATTCATATCTACATCATCATCATGATCAGCCTGTCTACGTCTACTGCAGGACAAAGGCCTCTCCCTTGTTCTGCCAGTCAACTCGGTGCTGTGCTTGCTGCTACCAATTTATACCTGCAGACTTCTTAATCTCATCTGCCTACCTAACCTTCTGTCGCCCCCTAACCTGCTTGCCTTCTCTGGGAATCCAGTTAGTTACCCTTAATGACCAGCGGTTATCCTGTCTACGCGCTGCATGCGCAGCCCATGTTCATATTTTCTTGTTGATTTCAACTATGATATCTTTAACCCCGCTTTGTGCCCTGATTTACTCTGCTCTTTTCTCGTCTCTTGAGGTTACACCTACCATTTTCCTTTACATTGCTCACTGCGTCGTGCTCAGTTTAAGCTAAACCCTCTTTGTAAGTCTCTAGGTCTCTGCTCCGTAGCTAAGTACCGCCAAGATATCTACATAGTGGTTTTCATCTCTTCAGTTCGTCAAAAAGTGTTTTGCGTGCTATGTATGTTAACATGTAGATTTAGTTTTTTTAGTTTTTTTGTTTTTTTTATCCTTTTTAGACATATCTCTGTGTGTGTCTAATGCAAATATTATTTACACTATATTTTACAATTTCTACCAGTTTTCTCTATTGTATTTGTCGATTTTTGTTTATTTGCCATTACTAATGTTTACTGTTGTTTAACGAACTTTGCTGTGAAGCTGCTACTAAGCAAAAGGATGTCACAGCTTTGTCAAGCTGTCTCTGACAGCTTTTTCTGTGCCTCTACTGTCTACAAGGCAGAAATAAAGAATTCGAAAACATGCATTGGAGTGATGGACAGCACAGTGTTCACAGCAGCCGGGTTTTTTAGGCCAGAATTTTGCTCAGTTGCATCGAGTTGGAGTCCAGAGGAGTTATCAGCTGGCCTTATACTATTATCACGAGGGCAATTTTGATCGCAGTCAAGACAGACCCGGATTAGACATGAACCGCATAAGTTGTTGCATCGTGGCCACTTTCAATCGCCACCAGGTCCAATCGGGATCTAGATGATCTGTCTTCGTAATTGCAATTTACCTGACATCTGCAACAAGCTCAATCTTGATTAGACCCCACGTGTAGCAATGACAAACTTGTTATCGCGATCTAGGGGCCGGATCGCAATCAAAAGTCTGACACCGTTCGTATAACATTCCAAAACACTTGTGATAAAAATGTTTTGTTCTTGCGACAGTGCATTTGTGAGCCTGTTGGTTGTGAAAGTGCCATTTGCTTGTCACCTGCTCAGCCCCTGCGTGGATGTTCAGAACAAGGCGGGAAACACTCCCATGCACACTGCGGTGCTGCACAACCAGACAGAATGCATGAAGCTGCTGCTTCGCAGTGGTGCTGCCGTTGATATCAAGAACGCAGATGGCAAGAGCCCACTGGACCTGGCCAAAGAGCGAGGTTACCACATGTGCCTCGAGCTGGTAAGCCTAAATGTTTTTCATTGCTCTGATATATATACGAGAGTGGTGGGAATAAGCTAGCCTGGCTCCTTTACTGTGTCCTATGCATTCTGTGATTTTATTCAGAAGCTTTTGTTTTTAGAAAGTGAGCTCAGTGCCTTGGCACTTATGTAAGCTTGAATTCGGTCCATCGTCAAAGTTCACAATTAGGTGTAAATAAATACTAACTATGCTAGAAGGTTCACTGCGCCGGGTGATAGATGGAGTTTTTGTGAGCATTAATTTTTTCACACTTTTCTCCAGGGTTGAGTGGTATGGCGGCAGAGCTAACCGCGTAACAATACTACAGTATAATCTCAGTGAGACGATTACTGTTTATGCGAATTTCGGAATGATACAACTTTTAAGGTTGTTTTGGATAGACTACATTTTAGAAAATGCACTGCGATTCGGTCCTATATGAATGGTTTCCCCAGTCATTGCAGATAATACGACTTTGCGATTGACTGCTGTGTGCAAGCGGTGTAACGCAGCTTGTTTGTGGGAAGAAGGCCCGGCCTTGAAGAGAGTGAATTCGGCAGAACATTGCGGAATTTCCCTTGCTTTAGTGGCCGGAAAAGCGTGCCGCGAGGCCGACGCCTAAAGATTGGTGCAAGACCAATTTTCCCGCAATAGCAGATCACTTTCCACTTTGGCTACACCAGCTGCTCTAGCTCTCAAACCATGGGATGTAAACAACCAGCCACAAATTCAACACTGTGGGAAAGGCGTTGGCGGCAGATTGCATAGGCGCTATCGTGAACTACCCTTTCCACATGTCATAGATCACAGCCTTGGCGAGGACGTGTCAATAGAGAGCCTGCTTTGGATTACGATCGTTAAGAACACTGGAAGTAGAATAAGGTGCGGCAGCAGTGAATTGGCATGTCTTAACATGTCTCGCTTTTGCACTCGTCGCCACCGCTGCGTCTGTTGGTGTTGTTTCTGCTGGCGTGTCTTCCGAAACAACGTTTATAAAGGCAAATATAAAGGCAAAAACTGTTTCCTTTCAGTGCTTTGCATGCATAACTAGAACAAACTTTAATCCCCAGGAAAATGGGCAAGATGGAATGAATTTTTAAGTGGCGGTGGCAGAAACAAGGGGCAGAACGAATGTGACCGTTTTTGACGGTCGTGGACGTGGTTTTCCGGCCGCTTTGGTGTTTTCTTTTGAGTTTCCAAGTGTGAATTCTTCAGGACTGATTTTTTTTTTTTTTTTTTTTTGTCGGCACGGTTCTCCGGCCGCTTAAGCGTGGCGAAGTGAGTGAATTTCCAAAAAGTTTGGCCGCTTTCATTCACCCCCTTCGATGTCAAGTGTGAATGCACTGTGCCAGCAGCATAAGTGAAGAAACCGCGACACTTCATAGAGAAGATGGTGAAGGCAGGAAAGTCTGAAGGAAATGATTGACTTCTTCAGCAAGAAGTAGTTGCCAATAAAGTTTTCGTTAATCTTCATTATCAGTTTTAATAAAGTTCTTGTTAATCTTCATTATCAGTTTTAACTTGTGTTTGTTTCGTATGAATTCAGGATAATACAAATATTTTGCGTGTTCTCTTTGAACTTGAATCATCGAGATTCTGCTAGCTTAGTGCTTGGCGATACAAGGAGAAAGAAGAGTTTGTCTTTGCATCCCTGTCTTTCCATGCACAGGCACTCGAAGAAGGCGCCCACCCAGAGACAAGGCATCATTCATTCCTCAACTGTTTTCTGAAAGTCCTTGCTACTGATGACTCCCTCAGTGTAGATGAAGCACTGGAGCTCTTGAATAGGGACCTCAGTGTAGTCACTGGGCCATTACAATTGGTTATCAGGCATTGCTGACTGTTATCTTGCCTTTCCAGGGGAAGTTAGCGGTAAATAATTGAAAGCTGCATATTAATATATAATTTTATGAATCCTAAAATATTTTTAATGATAACATTATGCTATTTGTCACATTTTGTTATGCAGATTGAGCATGCACTACAGAATAAGAAAACGCTTTTCGAGAATGTCAACATTGACTGGGGTCTGACGCAAGATGATGGGTCAACAGACTTCAGCGATGATGACTATCCAGAAGATCGCGTAAGTGTTTCGCCAAAAAGAGGAAGTCAGTAGCTGAAATAAGTTGTGCAAGAATACGGCATGCTTTTTTTCACACACAAAGTGCACATGCAAAAACAACCCATAAGGCATTATACTGCTAGAGCAGCATTACCTCTTCTTGCTTTTCATGCATGCCGTAATACTGTGCAAACTAGTACAATAGAACATAATTCGAAATCTCTGTTAAATTAAATAAATGAATAATTCAGGCTGTGTATCTAGTTATAGTGTAGTTCTGTGGGGATGAATATTGAAGAACTTCCATGAATTTGAACTTGTTTAACAGCCCAGCAGTTATTTTGAACCACTTTTCTCACCTACCGACAATATTTTCAGAAACAATTCTTGTCACTTTGTCATCAGCATCTCTGCAACAATGCAATTTATTTACAGCCAGGAATGTTCTTAGTGAAGATCACAGACCACACACACGTGTTGAAATCCCCCTTCTTCCATTTTCTTACTGGGTGCATGAAATAGCTGTGGTGAGAATCGTTGTGCATACAACTAGACGACACGAGAAGGAAACGATTTCCAGCGCAGACCACATCGCGAAGTTCTCATGAAATAGCTTATTAAATCAGCACCATGCAGCCACTGGTCCAGTGCCTTGTGTCTCATAGGGCCCGACACACTGCAACAACGTAAAATAAAGAACACATGAGTTGCTGCCTAGTCTGTTCGAATACAATGATGCAGGCACTTCATCTTTTTGATTATGGCACATATCAGCACCTTCTATATTGTTTTTTCAGTGTGCACTAAGCAGGCCTGCCCGCCATCCAGGCAGGTTACACATAATATATATATATATATATACATATATATATACATGCATACAAGCATACATACATACATACATACATACATACATACATACATACATACATACATACATACATACATACATACATACATGCAGTCAAATCTCATTTATTCAAACACGCTTAATTCCAACTCGCGATGAGGTCCCGTCAAAGCTATGTGTATTCCAATGGGCGTAAGCGCCCAGTAATTCGAACGCCTAAGCACTTCCGACGGTTAATTCGAACATACCACGCTATGAAAATCATCTCAGCACCCCGCCAAATCCCGCGGCGGCATCTGCGACACCTCAACGCTGCCCGCGAAGGAAATTACAAGGAAAGAAAAGGCTGCGGTGGAATGTTTGCTCTCTCTCAAATGCCGATCTGCGACGCACTCGTGTCACGCTTCTCCCTTTTCCGTACCTGCCACGTAAAGACCCTTCTCCTTCCTATGCCGCCTGCGAGCAGAGAAAAAAAAAAAAAAGCCGTTGCTGGGTCGAATGAATGTGTGGTTGAAGGGAAGGAAAAAGGCACTATCTTCTGCAGCCCTTGCCCCTTGGGGGAGCATGGCTCTGCGCCTTGAGGGGAGGGGTTGTCTCTGACGGCTTGAGGGGGGGGGGGGGGTTGTCGGGCAGGATCCCTGATCAGATCCTGCCCATGGCAAGTTATCTTTTCACCCAGTTTTCTTCATATTTACATTACAATTTGGTCTAATATCTTCCCCTATACTTTCATTGGCAGTATTGTCTGTTAGATCTCATTAATATTGTGTAAAAACACGGAAAAACGAGCCCTTAGGTATACACTTCTTTCCTTATATATATATATATATATATATACACACACACACACACACACACACTCACATACAGAGACCACCCATCATGTGCCACGTTTTCAAATTTGGGGAAAAGCGAACGAACAGGTAGGGTGTGTAGTGCATTGTGATACTACAGGGCCAAATATTTTTCTGTCACTCCATGCTGGGCTGGACAAGAAAGTGCGTTGTGTTTCAGCTAACATCCGACTGGAAGAGGTCCCGGCCTTCGAGCGTCATCAGCAACGAGTCGACACGCCCGGAATCTGCCAGTCCCCAGCCTTGCCCTAAGCCACCGCCGCCTCCACCTCAGAGTCGCAAGCCAGTCAGTGAGTTGTGTCAGATTGTATGCAAGCTTGCATAAAATTTTCCTGGGGACTCTTCTGCGAAGGCAGTTTAATAAGTTTATCAAGATTAATTTTGGAACGGAAGGTTCTTGGCCAGTCTGCTAGCAAACCATACTGTCATGGAACTATTAGCGTCGCTTCAGCTGCTTGCTTAAAAGTGTTCTTGCAGGGGAAGTACAGGGTGTCTTGGGCAAGATATTTGTGCATTAAATTCAAGTCAAATATTTGATTATCAGAGCTCTCCTAATATAGTTGCGGAAACCAAAGCATACGAATTTCATTTAAAGAAATACTCCTATATTTCTCTGTCAAGGATTTATCTCGGGAGTGCTTGCATCAAGTGGAATTGAGGGAGTCAAGAGGCAAGCGTGGCAAAACCAAACACACTTTATAACCCAAAAGATAGAAGGCAAAAAATCAAAAGTGAAAATGAAACCAACACTCGTGGACACAAAATTACCCCAACAAAAGCACAAGCAAAACAGTCTGCAAACCAATGCAAAACCCAGTCTAAATCGATTCTTAGCCCTAGCCACTGCTCCTAATCCAATGTGGCGTCTCAACAATGAAACGATCTTACAGTTCACGTCGGCTTCTCTCCGTTGCTGTGTCGAGGCTTGTCTAGTACGTCATTGACTTTCTCCTCAATGCCTTACTGTCGCCGTCAGTTGGTACTGCCAAACGAGTCACTCGTCATTGTCGTCGGTGTCCCGGACTTGTTTTCTTCGGCCTCGCTAGGCTAAGCTTAGGCTTGTCATAGACTCCCTTGATGGCAAGTCTACTCTGCTGACTGGTGTGGGCTGTTGCCGTCCTGCCACGAAGTGGGAGAGCTGCAAGTCGACCAGGAACTGCTGCGCAAGGGTGCGGCAAGTCCGGGCTGCCTCACTCGATGTCGACGGCCACTTCCCGGGCCTCTCACGCTGACACCCTTCAGAACTTGGTGGCTATACTGCTTCCATTGCAGTAGCGACACTCATTTCCAACGTCATCGCAGCTTGGCATTCCAATGCACAGTGCCAGCTCATCCTCTGGGATTTTTCCTCCCGGCTCAGGTCGCGTGCCACGAGCCTTTTTGTCAGACCAATCTCTTGCGTCTATGTGGCTGCTGCGCTAGCTCTTGAGTGACTCTTTTCTCTCCGTGCACCGTCACCACACTTCCACGTTCGGCATGTGCCTTATGCCTCTCCTTTACTCATGACATCCTCCTCCCATAGACTTTATTGAGTTGGCCAGCAGTTTTGTTTTGGTGGTCTCAGGTGGCGGCTTGGAGTCCCTGGACTCGGCTGGCACCCTCGGCTTGCTGGATAGCCCAGAGCTTGTCGTTTAGCTTCGAGCTTTCAAAAGCTGCCTCCAAGCAGCCCTTGTATGTCGGTGCCATCCGCCATATTAAAGGTTCTTTTTTCTCTTCTTTTTGTCACATAGCCTAAAAGTATGCATTGAGTTGTCTTGAAACAAAAGCAGGAACGTTCCTGTATGTGTTCTCTTTAAATGACCTTATCGACACATAAGAGATTTTTGAAGAATGGGATTGTTGCTAAGCCAATGTTTCGACTAATGGCCATTTTTACTGTAGTAGCGCATCTTTGTGCGGGCTTCGTACACTCATCTCCAACACCGCACAAGTGGAAAAGGAGGAGCAGCAAGACTTGAGCCTTTTATCTGAGAATTTCCAACTGTTATGATCACCTTTAAATTACAATTTTTAGCTGCTGCTCACTTGTGACATACTTGACTGAGTGGAGTGTCCTAACCCTCTTTATGCGGAAAAAAGGATGCAAAGCATGTGCACTTCCCAAACCAGAACAGCCAGAAGTGGTTTAAAGCTTGATGGCAAGCCATAGAGTTGCTGAAAAACCTTGAGAGAGAGATGCTACTTGAAGCTTAATTTATCATCACCCTCATGTTTTTTTTCTCCCCCTCCCTTTCTAGCTATGCCACTGGTGATGAGCCGTCAAGCCTCTAAAAAATATATAGTAGTATTCAATAACAATACCTTACCCGCCACATAAATGAGACTGTCGACTCGACTGCCGGTTTCTAATATAAGGTTGTTTTTCACTTGTATAGTCATATGACAGGCCTTGAGTCTCTGGGAGTAGGATGCTCTCCTAAAAGCCGGCAAAATAGTGTCTTATTAGTGTACTACGTCAGTGCTACTAGCATGGTATTTACTGAAAATGAATAAATATTTTTGTTCAGTTTACAAAACACACCTGCATTTGCAGAACTCCCCTGAAAAGTATAATATGTGACTGTAAACCTCTAAAGCTGCGTGACTCATGTGGAAGTAACTACACTGACCGATTCCTTGTAGGGCACTTCTGATGGCAATGGAACATGTATGATCACCCCATTCCCATTTTGATTGCTCTGTCTATGTTTGCCACCTGTATTCCAGGTCAGTGGGCTTCTGCTGAAGATTGCCGTTGCGAGTGCGTCATGCCGTTTGAGTTACATGTGCAAAAACATGGTGAAGATACATAATTAAAAAAAAAAAAATTCTGAACTTTAAAAAATGATTTTCTATATCTGCCCGTATCTTTAGCTAATACATGGATCTTTCAAATGGGACATCTTGCTTATTTTTACTCCAAAGCGAGTTGCGAGTTTTATGCCGCTGAATACCGCAAAAAAAATTGAATTTAGCAATTTTTTTTCAGGCTATCTGCTATACCTTCTGTGCGTAAATTATGTTTAATTTGTAGCTTGTCAAACAGGCCACCAGCACATATTTTATATGTGCCCTCTGAGCTTGCCATGTTCCCGGAAAAAAAAATCACACATTTGGAATGTTTATTCGATTTCCCTCTTGCTTTATAAAAAGTCCTAGAAGAGTCGATATACATAAGTAAGTCATTATATTTACATTAACATCAGGTCATAACTTTGCTGCAAACACCATTTTATTGAGTGCATTCCAAAAACATCTTTTAAAAAAATTATTTGATGGGTCGTCGAGCTTAGTTGGGGCAAAATTACAGACACTCATAAATAGGCAGGAAAATTTTTGGCTACGGAAATAAACGAGCAGGATGAGTTTCAAACTTCGAGAAGCATGTTGTATTTCTTTCAGCCATGTTCGTGATGGTCAGAAAAACGCTGGTTCATTTGGCATGGAATGACCCCTATGTAAGAGCACTTTGCACATCTGGTTCCCGGACGTGCATCTCCAAAAATTGACACGTTGGGTACTGCACAGATGACGAGAATGTCCAATGCTGTCTGATCAGAGAAGACTTCGTCTAGCATTCTTTCTTTGTTTTTGAAAAGTCTAATCTTTTTGGAGGAGGCACTGACCTTCTCCAATACCGTGGTAAACAGTTTGCATTGCAGTCACACAAATGCGCTTGCCGTTGGGTGACTTCTCGACATTGATTTGTGTCCTCGAAATCTATGTGTCGGAAAATACTTCACTTGCCATTGACTGTGCTTGCTACGGCTTTCTTCATCCAAGATGAAGACGAGGAAGCATGTTTAGCTGCTCAGCGTGATGAGATAAGATACCGACCCATCAAGTGGATGGACTTTGCAACGCACAATCACACAACAGCCATTGGGGATCTGCTTTCCATACCATGTGCAGTGCCTGAAAAATGTGGCAAACTTTTGTAAAATTTAAGCAGCCTAAGAAACCACGTTTATTGGAAAAATGAGGTTTGGCCTCTAGGTGCTAAAAGACTGCATACTTCCAGTCCTTTAACAGTCACTGAGTGCTATTTAAACAAAATTTTAAGCAATTTGCTGTGAAGTCTCGGCTTTTACTTTTATTTCCATAACTTTAGAGATACTAAACGTTACAAACGTTTAGTAATTTTCGGGGAAGAACAAATAAAATGGTTTTTCTTGTACAGTACTCATGGATTAAAACGTGACATCAATTTTTTTTTATTATAACAATTGGTATGCTCGATTTTGCTTGCAATAACCATGCCATGTAGCGACTAGTCTCGTTTGAGTCAAAATTATTCCGATACAACCCAAACTGAAAATGGTGGAATTATATGCAATTTTAGCCCTAAGTCGTCCCATTATGTGCTTTACTTCAATTTAGGTGGGTTAACCCACAGTTCTTAGCAACTGCCTGCTTCATAATCGCACTATTGCAGCACTGGCATGAGGAAGGGTGTCTACTAGCAGAGCCAAGGTTGATTTGTTCTGCTTCTATCAAGAGTGAATGTGCCTGCACGCTGGTGTATGAAAGAGCAAGCATGCGAATGTGTATATGTAATCTTCATAATATAGTTATGCATCCAAAGGCAGCATAATGCAGGTTCTCAACTCTCTCTTTGATCGTCTTTTCTGCTAGACGTGCTGTAAAGGTCGTCAAAAGATGATCTTGTACCCATTTGCATGCCACTTTATTCAAATGATGCGTTGACCTGCGGAGACTTGCGCAAGAGGTGGGTGAGTGATTTTGATGGCCACCCTGTGACTGTGTGCTTGCCAGTTCCAGGTCTCAATGCACATGGCTCCATGAAGAAACGTGCGGCCCCGCTGCCACCACCGTCGACAAGCCTGCAGCCGTCTAGTCATTCACGCACTCCCTCCGACCCGTGTTTCTCTCAGAGTGCCCTCGGTCTGGTGCTGCATAAGCGAAACCCCTCGATGGACCTGGCCTCCAGCTCTTCTATGGATTCTTCTTTTGACCAAGTCAGCTCGTCGAACCCCTCCACTCTTGGATCAAGTGAGTGCGGCTTCTCTTCAAAGTAGACATGTTGAATGCACTGATCAAAGGTTGTGCTAGCAACATTGTCTGATGACATCTTTGAAATTCCGACCTGTTGGTGCATTGTGACCCTGTTTCTTAGCGCTATTTTCACTTGTCTGGTGACGAGTTGGTTTCTTGTTTATTTTAATTTAGTAAACTTCTCTTCATTTCACAATTACTACAGTTCAACAATAAAAAACTACATATAACATGCCCCATGTCTTTCTTGGCTTGATTACCGTATACACTTGTGTGAGGGCTGCTATTTTTTTCCGCAATTTCGATTGAGTGCAGTTCTTTCACAAAAGCATGAAGTTTTTGTTTAATTTTTTATCCACGTACGGCAGAACCTATTTAATCGTGCGACATATCCTAACGGTGAGATATCTGGCTGTGGACATTGAGTCGTCAAAAAGAATGGCGGCACAAAGCATCAATGGCGCTGTCAAGAAAGATCTCCTCGATAGTGCCGCATGCTCGAAGTTCACAGATAGCACCGCATGACAGAGCTGCAGAACAGCTATTGCCATTTGGTGGTATGCGAAGCAAAACATTTGCTGGCAAGCTTTTTTTTTTTTTTTTCAAAATTTGGATTGCCAAGTTCGACAAGGAGCCTCTACACAAGCACAAGAGGTCCTTAGTTGAGCTTCTAGTGTCTCACAAACAAACAACGGGTCCTTCAATCCATTTCTCTTCCTATTTGTATGTGTGTGAAAACTATGAAGGCACTTTGTGTTTAGAACCGAGTGAGTGCCATTGGCGATTTACAATGATAGGGGCAATGAATACATACCCACAGACTGTAGTGAGCTTCTTCAATTCTTAGTCCTTCAGGAATGCCAAGAGATTTTGCGTATGCAGTGAGTATCGGCTGGAGGCACCTTGATAATCAGGGATGAATAGTCAAAGAAACTTCCCAGTGAGCAGTGGTTTCATTAAGATTCAGTGTATGCACAAGCGGTGTCGCACACACTATAGAGCTCATAGAGGATGTGAAGTGATGAGATTGATTTTTAAAAGGGTTTGAGCTTGGTAGTAAGGCTTCATTGTTGTGAAACTGTGCAAAAAGAAAGTGAGGGCACAGGAATAATAATAGTGTCGATGCACCCCCAATATCATGAACAGTCAAGGAGATCTGCACCGTTGAGTCTATGCGATGTATAGGGTAGAGCACGTGTGCTTTTTCAAGCCCCTTCCTGCCAGGTGAAAAAGCGTACGTATTTATTCATGCTCACACAAATGAACTGTAGTGAACAGGAATGCCCACTACCGCAGCGCCATTCACACGTGGGTGCGAGGCGCGAGCTGGGACAGCCTGGTTGCTGCTGCGACGCTGCCCGTATACTCGGCCTGCTCTTGCTGCTTCTGTACCGACGCTGCTACCGCTTTTGACCTTGCATTTACGTTATATTTTGGTGGAGAGTGCTGCGGTCTTCCCCAGTCCTAGAACTGCGTAGCCGAAATCTGCCGTCCGTCACGCCTGATGACGCTGTCTTCACACCCCCACCAACTTCGCGACGCAGGGCTCTCCCGGTGCCCAGCTCTTGCGAGAACCCGACATCTTCAGCGGCTCCGACGAGAAAGACGTTGAGGATTGGCTGGAATCTTATGAACGAGCCAGTGCTACTAACAAATGGGGCGATCCCGCGAAGCTTGGTATCGTGATGTTTTATTCAACGGATGTTGCCAAGCTATGGTACAGCTTGTACAGAAACCATGAGGCGGATATCCCCACTTGGACGACCTTCAAAGCCTGCATCGTAGATGTTTTTGGACGCACTGGTGTGCGCAAACTTCGCGCAGAACAATGCCTACGAAGCCGGTCGCAACAAACTGGTGAGACATTCACTAGCTACATCGAGGACATCCTCGACCTCTGCCGGCGTGTCGACCCGACGATGGCAGAAACTGACAAGGTACGACATATTATGAAAGGCATTTCCGACGACGCCTTTCAATTGCTGCTCTCAAAGAACCTTGTCACTGTCTCTCAGCTCATCGAGTTGTGTCAGAGTTTCGACGAGCTCCGACGACAGCGTCTTCTCACGGGACGCCCTAACGTCCCGGATGACACACTCTCAAGCCTAACCACCACCTCTGACCTTGAGTCCCTGCTATCGCAGATCAAGGAGTTTGTTCGTGCTGAAGTCGCTCGTCAGCTATCGCTGCTATCAACAGCCGGCCAACCACCGTCACCTCTACCAGCAAACCTTCGCCAGGTCATCCAGGAGCAAGTCTGCGCAGCTCTGCCATCTGCCCGTGACACTTCACCGTTGCCGACTCCTGTTGCCTGTGCCGAGGTAAATGCACCTCTAAGCTATGCTGAAGTGGCCGCTCGACCACCTCTTCAGACTTTTACGTCACTGCCGTCAGCCGTGCCGCCGCAACCCAATCCTCGGTTCGCTTAGCCAAGGTCGCTCTAGAATAGTGGACAATGGCGTACACGCGACAATCGGCCAATATGCTTTGCCTGTGGCCTACCTGGCCACATAGCGAGATACTGCCGTCGACGCGCCCCTGTCTACCACCAGAGCTACCACCAGAGTTTCGAACCTGCCCCTTATGTGCCACCACGCCCTTTGTTCACAGGCTCTCAGCCTCCCGACCAGATGTCATCGTACGCCGACCACCGCCCTCCTGTTGACCACCGCTCACCATCGCCTCGACCCCATCGCCGATGCGTCGTCGTCCTTCATCGTCGGAGCGGGAAAACTGATTGCCGCAGTTCCAGAGGCAGGATCTGGGACACCCGCGAAAAGACCAAGGCCTCTCTCTTCACCGACGAATGTGCTGCACGTATATGTGGACGGCGTCGCTGCACTCGCTCTTGTCGACACTGGTGCCGCACTTTCAGTGATCAGTGCCAGACTCTGCCGCTTGCTCAAAAAAGTTATTACGCCACAAGCAAGTATATCGCTTCGTACAGCAAGCGCAGAGCGCGTCACGCCGGCCGCTGCCTGTACTGCTCGCATTGCGATTGACGGCCTCATCTATGTTGTTGAATTACTCGTATTGGGTTCTTGCTCCCATGACCTCATTTTGGGCTGGGACTTTCTCTCCGCTAATAAGGCCGTCATCGACTGCTCGCGCGCTGAGGTGGCATTTGAAGTGTTTAGCGACGATACTTTACAAGACGCTGTTGAAACCGGCGACAAACTATTTGTTGCTGAAGACGTTATCATACTGCCGCACTCTTTTGCCTTTGCCAAGGTGTCTTGCAACGCGCTCGCCGAATCAAGTGCCCTCTTCACGCCATCTGCCGTTTTCGTTCGTCACAAGTGTTCGCCGCTACCTCATGCCCTTTTGGAACTTCATGACAGTGTCAGCAGACTGCTCATCTCAAATCTTCTGTCATGTCCTGTAACACTACTTCGGGGCGAGTGCGTCGGGCATGTTTACAATCTCGACCCTTCTGCAATTATTGACATGCCGACTGGTTCTTTCGCCGAACACGAAGTCCCTGGACTGACCTGTGCCTCTTCGCCGCAGACTATTAGACCTGACATACTGAGCAGCTCCATTGCCGACACGTTAACCGTTTCGCAACGTACTCAGTTTCTACGACTCCTGAACAAGTTCCGTTCTTTTTTTGACTGCCAGCATAGTCCCCTCGGCCGCACATCAGCTGTGTCACTGCATCGACACGGGCACCAATTCCCCACTGCGTCAAAGACCCTATTGCGTGTCCGCGACGGAGCATCAGGTTATCGGTGACCAAGTAGCTGACATGCTCAAGCGTGGTGTCATCCAGCATTCGAATAGCCCCTGGGCATCTCCAGTCGTTCTTGTTGAGAAGAAGGACAGGTCAATTCGCTTCTGTGTTGACTACCGTCGTCTTAACAAGATAACTTGAAAGGACATTGACCCCTTACCGAGAATCGACGACGCCTTTGACAGCCTCCAATGTGCAGAGTTCTTCTTTTTTATTGACTTATGGAGCGGCTACTGGCAAGTCCCTATGGCACATGAAGATCAGCCTAGAACGGCCTTTGTCACACCTGATGGCCTTTACGAATTCCGCGTCATGCCTTTCGGTCTTTGCAACGCGCCCGCAACATTTGAGCGGATGATGGACAATCATTTGTGTGGCCTGAAGTGGAAAACATGCCTGTGCTACTTAGATGACGTGGTTATATTTTCGCCAGATTTTCCCACGCATCTCCGCAGGCTAGATGAAGTACTCCAGTGCCTAACTGACGCCGGCCTTCAACTGAACCTGAAAAAATGCCGCTTCGGTGCAAGTCAGCTCACGATCCTCGGCCATGTTGTCTCTAAAGACGGTATTCTTCCTGACACCGCCAAGCTTCAGGCAGTTGCAGAGTTCCCTAAACCCTCATCTCTGAAGGATCTGCGCAGCTTCCTTGGCCTCTGCTTGTATTTCCGCCGCTTTATACGGAATTTTGCGATCGCCCCCTTGACTGAACTTTCACGGAATGACTCGAAAAGTTACGCTTGGTCACCTGCCTGTGATGATGCCTTCAAAAAGTTGCACCACCTGTTAACCTCACCACCAATCTTGCGTCACTTTGACCCGACTGCTCCGATTGAGATATACACTGATGCAAGTGGTGTTGGACTCGGCGCCGTGCTCGCGCAGCGCAATTTGGGATTCCAGGAGTACGTAGTCGCTTACGCAAGCCATATCCTCACCAAAACGGAGAAGAATTATTCTGTAACAGAGAAGGAGTGTGTGGCAATTATTTGGGCTCTATGTAAATTTAGACCATACCTATATGGTAACCCTTTCGACAAAGTCACTAATCACCATGCACTTTGTTGATTATCCACGTTGAAGGACCCCTCCGGCCGTTTAGCTCGCTGGTCTTTACGGTTGCAAGAGTTTGACATGCGTGTTGTCTACAGGTCTGGCCGACGTCACACTGATGCCGACACCCTATCGCGTTCACCTGTATCATCGGAAACTTCAACCTGTCTATCTGCAGTGGACGAAACGGTTGCCTTTCCAGCAAACTGCGACATGGCGTCTGAACAACGTAAGGATGACTGGATCAACGCTCTTCGGCGATTCCTTGCAGAACCGTCGACTTCTCCATCTTCTCGAACATTGCGCTGTCAAGCAGTTCAGTTTAAGATCCGCGATGACCTCCTTTATCACAGGAATCACAAGTCTGACGGCCGAAGGTGGTTACTGGTCATACCTCGCCATCTTCCTGCGGCAGTATGTTCAGCTTTCCATGCTGACCCTCAGTGCGCACATGCGGGCATATTCAAAACATACGCTCGCCTTTCCTCCCGGTTTTATTGGCGAGGCATGTACACCTTTGTGCGTAAGTACATTCAGTCATGCCCGCAGTGCCAGTGACGGAAAGCTCTGCCTCATCACACCTCTGGTTCGATCCAGCCAATCCCTTGCCCAGCCAGGCCTTTCAACCGCATTGGAATTGATCTGTACGGGCCTCTTCCATTCATGCCTCCCGGAAACCGTTGCATCGTTGTCGCTGTCGACTACTTGACGCGGTACGCAGAAACAGCCGCTTTGCCTACTGCCACAACACGCGACGTATCATCTTTTCTCCTGCGGAACTTCATTCTCCATCACGATGCACCGCGCACCGTGACGGAGACCCTACCGCGTTGTCTCGCAGACTTCACCTGTTAACTACATTATCGAACCCATGACGCCATCCGCACACCAGCGCTTTCGGGGTCGTGAAAACGTTCACGTACAGCAGTTGAAACCATGTTATGATTCGCTCGTACTCTCTTCTCCGTGAGTCGCCAGGATGGCTTTTTTTCCAATGGGGGACGTGTCAATATGTAGTGAACAAGAATGCCCACTACCGCAGCGACATTGACACGTGGGCGCGAGGCGCGAGCTGGGACTGCCTAGTTGCTGCTGCGACGCTGCCCGTGTACTCAGCCTGCTCTTGCTGCTTCTGTACCGACGCTGCTACCGCTCTTGACCTTGCATTTACATTATAAAACACATTTGTTGGTAGCTTGGTAGTGTCTGTTCTTTTCTGTGTTTTCTTCGCACTGTTTTGCATCGAAGAGAGGGATCCCTTTTATGCACATACGCGTCAAGCTTTCCTCTGCAGGTAATGCAATGTTGCCTTCTCTGTGCACCAGGTTCCTCACGGCAAAACCTGTCCCAGGGATCAGATGTGCTGAAAGGGTAAGTTCTGTATTTTTAACTGCATCTTTTGTTGGGGCCACTCTATGTACGGCTGGTGCAGAAGCCTAGCTACGGTTCTTGCCACACACAGTTGCACCGTGCACGTATCATGTTCCCTTCTTGTAGCTCGAGTCACCGCAGCTACGACGGGTTCGAGTGATTAAAGCAACAGGCTGAGTCAACAAAACAACTCTTTATTCCTGCATTAACGCGTAGATGTCGAGCAGAGGAATAGTCCTGTGAAGAGAACAAAGGCTTGCTCCTGTAGCCGATGGCTGGCTGGCTGGGGTCCTTTGAGGTCCGTGGCCACTGGCTGGTACGAGAGAGATAGTCTCCCTGTTCATTTATCGGTCAATGGCCCTCCGAAAGAGGTTACAGTGTCTTTAGTTTGAGGGACCGGTTTGCCCTCGCTGCTGTCAAGGAAATGGAAGCAACAGTGTTTTTAAGGGGCGGACTTAGTATTGCAGAGATGGGATTGTGCTCTTGCACCAAACAAGGTTTGCCATCTCTAATAAAAAAGAATGGTATTGCACCAGAATGGCCTTAAGTCGGATGAAATGAATGTGGCAGTAGTGGCCTGTATAATGCGTTATTTGTCTTTGTGACTTGAGATGTTTTCGAAGTGCCCGCCTTGTGTGCCTGCTCGCCGTGTAGTGCCGGCGATTCGTCATGCACTGAAGTGAAGGAAATAAAAACTTGCTCTCAACCCTTTCCATGTGTATAACTGCTCCATCATAGCGCTAATACAAAACTTCTGGCACCACAGCGGCTAACTAGAAGTGCAGTATAAAGGCAATGGTTATAGCATGTTTTTTTTTTTTCTTAGCACGGTCAGTTGTTTTGGCCATGCTTGTTCTTTCTCCCTGAGAATATTGCATTGCCTTTGTCAATTGATTGTTCTGGGCCACTTTTCTTTTGTTCAATCTTTGCCAAGTGGGGAAGACGTCTGAGAGGACAGTTTGTGCCTATGGAATTAAGAAAGCTTTCGTGCGCACTCACGTGTTTCTTGCATGTGCATGTGTGTAGGATACGCATGACGTTGAGCGGCACTTTTTGCGGTGATGAAAACATTCTATGAATATTCTGTTCGAAAATGTAATGTGTATTTTTTTCAAGTCTAAATGGTCATACTTTCTCTAGTACTCGCAGAATCTTGCACCACAGCGACCTATTGTTTCGCTTTGTGGGTCAACACTGCTAATATGCTGTGATTCCGTTCAAAAATGTAATTTCTGTCTTGTAAACCTAATGAGCTTAATTTTGTAAGAATTTGCAGAGGCTGGCGTTGCTGCGATGTGTTAGTAGTTAGGTTTACGGGTCTATCGACCACACGCATGTGTTGCATTTGCGCCAGGGCACCATACTAACCGTTATCATTTGAGAGTGCATGTTTTTTTTTTACAAAAAAGGTTTTTGGTCGCCTTGTGAGACTAATGCCACAGTCTTGCAAAGCAGCATTCTGGTGTGATTACTTTTCTCTGGAGTTGTGCAAATACTTGAATACAGTGAGTGCATGAATCAATACAATCATAAATTGTGTATATAGCATTTGATTGTCATGATATTTATTGTTGAGACCTACACAGTGCCACAGATCGCACTCACCAGGGAACCCTAGTTCTGGGCTTGTGTGAATATTCGAGCACTTCAAGTAAACAAAGTAATATTAACATGTAGTATTTGGATTCACTTCTACCCGAATTTATTAAATCACTGGAAATTTTAATGCATTCGAAATTAACAAATAGGTGTATGTTAAACCTCATGTAAACTTTGTGTTAAGGTGGTTTCACTGCAGTGGAGAAGTGCTATACCGTGAGTAGACCTTTTCAGGAAAATTACACACTGCCAAAGAGTTCAACTTCTAGGTTAAATGAACATATCACCTTAGGCAAAGCTGCTGATGAGGATCAAGTAACATCAGATCTTCTGAAAGATGGAGGACAAATTGTGTTAGAAAAACTGACCACCCTGTTTATGAAGTGTCTCTTGATGGGGAGGGTACCAAAATCTTGTTAGAAAGCTAACAACATCTGGAAGGGTTTTTGTTGATTATGAGCTGACAAGCGCAACGTGTACATGAGGCGTTTACGATTACATCTGCCAAATTTTGAAATTCTACGCGCCGCAGAAATAGGTAAAAATTCAAGATGAACGCTGCTCTCCGTTTCTTTCGCAGGCCTGCACCCAGAGAATAAGGGCATGACGTACACGTATGAATTGCCCTACGTACATGGCAGTGCTGTGACGTTGGCCCTTTACGTAGACTACTGCACTCTGACGTTGACAACAGTAGCACGTAACATGGCAAAAATTATTTAACATGACATGTGTAGTTTATGTAATTTGTTGCTTGAATATATGAACAAAACTTGAGATAAATAATGAGGCGCAATAAGGGAATGTGTGCGTCTTTTTTATTTCCTCCCATGAATAGCAACTAAATGTGGAGAATGTGCCAGCATTTAGCCTGCGTTCATGTACCCGCGGTTAGCGTATCTAGCAGATGCCTGTCCTGGAAAAGGAATTAATGGTTTGGCGTGTTTGAGCACTCATTATGCACATCTATTCTACCAGGAGAGAGTCAGAGACTCTCCGGGACAGCTGACGGTGAGCCACGCAATCTTTTCCGTCCGTCGACTCCCGTCGCTCCGGGCTCGTCGGATTTCGCTTACGGCGCCTCGCGCCCGAGGCGAACGCTCACCTTTTGTTGCCCCTCTGCGTACGGTTGGCCGAAGGGTGGTACGGTGTCCTAGTGCGTGGCCAAGCTACGCCGACCCTTTTCCCTCAAAAGGCAACGTGAGCGCCTTTGTGCTCGCTCGAGCAATCCGGCCTTGGTCCCGGTGTCTCCGTGACTCACCTTTACCACGGAGACGTGCTCGTGGCACCCTGTGTAGTACTTTTACGCTCGTGGCGTGGATAAGCCCATTTGCTTTCCCGCCACACCTTTGTAACGTGCTGTACTGCGTTTCGGGGTTGCCACAGACAATAAAGTGTTGCGACCTTGAGCAGTATCGTGTTCTCGCCACAGCGACGGTTAACGGGTGCCCTGTGGCTCGCTAAGACTGGACCCACGCTAGTGGCCGTACTCCTTCGGGATACGTGTCACTACAACTTAAGACAGGTAGCAACGGCAAAGCTGAACCACTAGATTGAGGTAACTAGAAGAATAAAAGTGGGGTGGAGCACATTCAGCAAGCATTCTCAAATCATGAATGGTAGATTGCCACTACCCCTTAAGAGGAAAGTATATAACAGCTGCATCTTGCCAATACTTAGCTCTGGAACAGAAACCTGGAAGCTTACAGAGAGGGTTCAGCTTAAATTGGAGACTATACAGTGAGCAATGGAAAGGAAAATGATAGGTGTAACCCTAAGGAACAAGAAAAAAGCAGAGTGTGTGAGGAAACAAATGGGTGTTAAAGACATCATAGCCGAAATCAAGAAGAAGAAATGGACATGGGCCGGGCAGGTAGCACAAAGGCAAGATAACCGTTGGTCATTAAGGGTAACTGACTAGATTCCCAGAGAAGGCAAGCGGGTTAGGGAGAGACAGAAAGTTAGGTGGGCCAATGAGATTAAGAAGTTTGCGGGTATAAAATGGCAGCAGCAAGAACAGGACCAAGTTGACTGGCAAAACATGGAAGAGGCCTTTGTCGTGCAAGAGGCATAGTCAGGCTGATGATGATGATAATTACCCTCGCATCCAATTCTTCTTTTCTTGAATTCTAAAGGTTTGTTATACTGGCTTATATGCTCTAATATAGTAAATTTTAAAACATAATTTATTTGACAGGTTTAAGTTCAAGTTTATTCTTTCTCAAGGCATTACAGAACAGAAGAACAGGTATTACAAAACAGGTTATTGCTAGCACTCTACCAAAAAATTAACTCTTGCTACGATGGAAAAATGGTTCCACTTTGTTTGAACCAAGAAAAATGACATTTGCACATGCCTTGTTTCAAATTAAACATCTACAGTAAAATTTCGAGCAAGTGCCCTCTGCCCTCTTTCCTTAGAACAAAGTGAATTGCCAGCCAAATGGGGGAAGGGGGCTATCTCGGAACGGCACCAAAATTCAAAATGGCGACAAAATTTTCACGCCAGAAAAAAAAAAAACTCAGTGCACATGGATTGAAATTTTATTACAGTGAACTTTATTAAGGCCCAGAATTTGTTGTAGCTTTTAGTCATTTTCAAAACCATTGAAAGACTCCTCAGAGTCAGTTGCAAAAAGCAGGTCACCGCATTCCGCTTATAGTTCGCCACGGTCTTCTGGCACCACAGCTCCAACATCGGCCAGTCTGTTGTGTAGGTTGCCGTCCTCTGAGCCATCGAGCGCGTTACTGATTCCGCGTTTCTTGAGGGATTGTGCCACTGTTCCTTCATGTAGAGCGGCCCACGTTGGCAACAAAATCGAGCACGTTTCCGCGACGGCTTCTTTAAGTTTTCTTTCAGTGCTCGTGCTTCCTCACTCATATACAGCTCCCATAAACATCGCAAGGCGGATTTAAACGGCTTATTCCAATACACGTCGGCAGGCTGCAGGATGCTCGTGCACCCCACAGGCACGTAAAGCATGTCATACTCCTCGAAGGCATTTGTGGTGGCTCGTGTCTTATGGATGGGCGCCAGGTTTAACACTAGTAAAAAGTCGCACTTCTTCGGCGTTTGAGCCCCAGACTCTCGACAGCCATTCTTGCATTTTCTCCAATGTCATCCAGCTGTTTTTCATGGCAGTGAGACGAGCATTTGCTACGAATGGGAAAGAAAGTCAGCGTTGTGATCAAACAAACTAGGCATAAATGTGACCCGTCACCTTCATCAATAAAGTAAAATTATTCTCACGTGGTATGCGAATGCTCGCAAAGGCCTTGGTTGGAATCTTTCTGCTTTGATCCTTGAAGATAATCAAGACCGGGAGCTTGTGGCCAGTGGCGCAAGCAGCTAGGCAAGCCGTGAAACCTCACCAGGCACATCCAGTGTCGCAATCTGTATG